GGCGTCCTCTGGACAGTTTTTACACCTGCCAGTTAAATTAGCTGGAGACCAGATGTTTGCCAGTTAAGAAGGGTTGGTCTTATTGAAGGGCGGACTGGGCGGACAAATTGGAACAGCTAAGAAAGGACTTAACACGAGGACTCTCAGAGGTTACACTTTCTAAAATACAATAAGTTATGTACCGTGTATTTATGTAACTAAACACCACCATTATCACTTCGCTCTAATCTTAGGTGCTCAGTTAGCTGAAGCATCTCATTACCACCATACCATCATTGTTGACTAAAAATATAAATAACCAAAATGATTGCTAGGTTAATAAACCAAGTATATGGTCTTATCCTGCATCAGTTTTTGTAATTCCAAGTGTGTCTGTTCTTACATGTTTAATTTAACTGTTAAAATAGAATATCATTTGGTAGGGGCTCATTAAATAATAATAATAATTCTTTACCAAGAGAAGGTCGACGGAAAGGGTCAACTGCCCTGTCTAGTAAGTCATTCAATATAATAATATAGACATCTAAAACCCTTTTCCTTCTCTTGTGGATACCAAGTGAAGCTAATGTTAAAATAATTAACGAGCCAATATGACTGTTTTCTTGAATATCCAGGACTTTGTCTGAGAGCAACATAGCCCGGATATTAGTTCAGTTAACCTAGTGGAGGGGGTATGTTGAGAGGAAAATTTCCCTACTCAACATGTAAAATTCAGTTAAACCCAAATCCAGAGAACCCACGACCCGGGACGTCACACTAAAGTTTTGTAAGATCAAGGGATCGTAGGGCCGTTACGTCACAGGTGAACAGTCATTAACGAAGGCAGGCAGGTCGTTGTAGAGGCGACGCCTGCTGGTGGATGTAATGTCCTAAGTTCCTTCACCAGCTAATAATGAGGGTACTGCTGGGGTGACCATTTATTAACCCTCATATAATGCTTCAGGTCAAAATGGACGCTAGGCACAGCCACCTATTTTTTTTAATCTTTAGCCGTGGCAAATGTTTTTTTTTCTGCCAGACGGTGGCCGTAGCATTTTTGCTCGATTTGTAGACTGGAAGGATATAGTTTTGTCGCCCAGCTTATGAGTTAAGTGCATGATGTGACAATGTGAGCTACGTTTGTTTTTCGTTGGCACAGGAGCGGAGCAACTATGGGGTGACCCGTTTGCTATGAAGCTGAAACTAGGATTACCAGATTACCACATCCAAGAAAGATGACTTCCACAATGCGCGGAGAATGGTCCAGCGTAAGCTACGTCAGATGGTTGAGTAGAAAAGCAGAAGAGATCCAAAACTTTGCTGACAGACATGACCAGAAAAATTTATGTTGTGCACTAAAAGCAGTCTATGGTCCATAAGTATCACCAGGACCCCTTACTCTCCTCAAAGCAGATGGGAAAACACTGGTCACGGGGGAAAAAAAACACATTTTGTAAAGATGGGCTGAACATTTTAACATTTTAAGTCAGTTTTCCTCTGTTAACAATGACACACTATCAACAGCATTCCACAAGTCCCTATAAATAAGTCACTTGAACAAGCACCTACCCTGGAGGAAACTGAAAAAAAAAAGCGATTCACCAAATTTATAATGGTAAAGCTCCTGGCTCTGACGTAATCCTTGCAGAGGTTTATAAAACTTGTGGAAAAGTTCTGACAGAGATTTTTCAGCAAATTTGGCAGATTGTAATTGTTCCACATGAACTCAAGGACGCATCAATAATACACTTTCACAAGCTGAAAGGCATAATCACCGTGGCATATTCCTGCTATCAATTACAGGAAAACTTTGTTGCTAGAATACTTCTAAATCGTTTACGACACACCTTGATACAGGCCTGCTACCCGCAAGCCAATGCGGATTCCGGAAAGAGCGAGGAACCATAGACATGGTGTTTGCAGAAAGGCAGCTATAAGAAAAATGTCAGAAACAGCATTGTTATTTGTTCACGGCTTTCATTGACCTCACAAAGGCGTTTGACTCAGTCAAAAGAGAGGGTCTGTCTGAGATCAAGTAAAAAATATGGCTGCCTAAGGAACGTTATCATGATTATACAGCAACTGCATGATGGAATGCAGGCAAGAATTCAGGAAAATTGAGAATTTTCTGAACTTTTCTATGCTACAAATGGTGTCAAACAAGGATGTTTACTCGCATCTACTTTTTTCAGTATCAAGTTCTCAGCTGTACTGTTTGACGCTTTTCGTCATCGAGATAAAGGAATTGATATCTGCTATCGAATCGATGGAAAAACTTTTTAATCTTAGGAGGCTTAAAGCGAAAACTAAAGTTAGATCATGTATTTTTGCTGATGACTGTGCTCTTAATGCCGGTTCAGAAGCAGATCTGCAGTATAACATGAACAGATTCCTTGAGGCCTGTGCCAGTGTTGGGCTTACCATTAACACCGAGAAAACTAAAATTATGTTCCAGCCAGCACCAGGCAAAGTGCACACTGAACCAACCATTCTGGTAAATAGCAAGAAATTAAAGGTTGTAGATAGATTCACATACCTCGGTAGCACATTGTTTGAGAGTGTCACCGACGACGATGAGGTGAGCATTAAGATGTCTAAAGTCAGCTGCACATTTTTCAGGTTATACACGAATATCTGGCATCGTAGTGGCATCAGTCAGCAAACCAAACTTAAGGTATACAGAGCTGCAGTGCTTCCTATGCTACTGTATGCCTGTGAAACTTGGACTGTATGCAGATGTCAGGCAACAACAACAAAAAAACTCACTCACTTCCATACAGTCTGTCTGAGAAAGATACTGAACATTAAGTTGCAAGACATGGTCCTCGGACACTGTCGTACTGGACAGGGCTGGCATACCCAGCATCAATACCATACCGATGCAGTCACAGACACGACCGGATAGCCATATTGTTCGAATGCCTGACCATCGGCTCCCAAAAAAAACCTATGGTGAGATATGTGAAGGTCGCGCTTCAATGACACACTAAAGGCATCACTGAAAGCTTTCAGTTGTTTGTTTTAGTATCCAGAAGCCATGAGTTGTTAACCCTTAGGCTCGGTATTATGGATATCGCAACTCTCCGGCCTTGATTCCATAATAAATACCGTAAATCTGGGAGAAATGTGGCTTTCCTGCATACCCCCGGGATTGAACCAGGACCACAAGGAGTTCGTCACCCGGTCTCCGCGCAATCCGGTTTAGCCAACTACGCTAGAGAGCCGGGCAAAGCTTTCAGTATAAACCTTGACACCTGGGAGGCTGCAGCACAAGACCGGATTTTGTAGCGCACATATACCCGAAATGGTGCAATGATCTTCGAGGCATCTAGAACAAGGTACAGCTGAACAGCGAAGACAGGCCAGAAAGAATCGTCAAACAGGCCTTTTTTTTACAAACACTGTGCACTGCCTTTATTGTCCTAGACTCTTTCGGGCACGTACAGGACTTATGTCACCTCTGGACTCACAAACATTCAACTGCAGTTTCATGACGGATGAAAGAAAAAGTGGTCCTCATCACTTGTGATGTACGAACAAACGTGTGTGTGTGTGTGTGTCTGTGTGTCGGCTTCTTTGGCTTTAGCGTTGAGAACGCGCTTTATAATGCCGTGGTGTCGAGTTCGATGCCATCTGCGGACAGTTTGTCTTGCTTTGATTTCGACAGTGGTACGGAGAGCCGACCGTTTAGTGGCAATAGCAAACTAATGACTGTAACATTTGCCTAGAAAAACCACAACAGCCAACAATAACAACAACAACAAACTGCATTGTCATGTAAAGGTTGCCCAACTAACTTTGTATTTTTAAATATGTGTTTGTATTATATACATGTGTGTGTATACATATACATAAGATGCTATTTTGCTATCACCACCAGCACCTTTTAACAGCCATCGTAATGTAACTGCCGTTTTAAAAGACGTTTTATAAGAATTAAAGTAACAGAACAATTTACCTATGTTCAAAATTGTTAGAACACACACAAACACAACTATTATAAACAGAGAAGAAATGCAGTGGTCATTTCCGCTTCGTGATCAAAAGAGAAACTACCCAATCGACTCTTTTGGAAGTAAAGGCGGCCGGCGCTATGCTTACCACTCATCCACTCAGTGCTGAGGGGTGTATAATATAAATGTTTATCTATAGTGCGTTTCAAAACTAATGCCGTCACACTTTAACAAATATCTTGAAAAAACTTTTTTAGGGATCAATATAAATGTTTGCATGTGGTCTTAGATTTCTCATGCCCTTGTTATTCTATAATTTACAGTTGAACAGATGCTGTTGTCTTCCTAATGCAGTGTATTTCTTTGATCTTTGTTTGACTTATAATTTTGGTAACCCTGACAAAAAGGAATATACAGTAACTGACAGGCGTGTGAAGACTGAAAATCAATGTATAGCGACGCATGGAGTTTAATAACGGAAGACTTCTATGACACGCGTGCAATTTGATGTTTTCAAAAGGTTCCTCTTTTGCAGATTACTCGAGTTCCTTTGAATCAGTGTCTGCTTTTTCACATACAGCAAATAAGGCGATATGACAACGAGATGTTTGTTTGCATTTAAAAAAAAATTCTCACAAGGACAGAATTATTAACAGTTTGCAAGCCAATCTCCACAACTTACACTGAACGGCTACTGAATTACAGATTTTCAATGTTCGGCAGAACTTCTGGAACAGACTATAGTATCATATGTCCTGGCGTAATAATCATGGCAGAGAAAAATGAATTGATACACACTGTTGGAAATCCTAAAATAAGAAAAAATTTGATTGTTCGGATTTATCAACAAAACACATCTCTCTATCTCTCTCTTCCTCTCATCCCCTATTTTTTTCATCCGTCTCTACATGTAGGTGCACGCGCACGATCGCATGAGCGCATTCACGCACGTACACACACCCAGAAAGAGATAGAGAGAGAGAGAGAGAGAGAGTGAGAGAGAGAGAGAGAGAGAGATACTCTTCTTAGTAAGAAATAGACAAGAATATTCATTAACATTATCCATACCCTTAACAATTGGGTACAGTCCGGGCCGACCGCTATAATAGTGCAGTATTAACTCTCCATCCGGTCCGTCCTCACACCTGTCAGATTGTACCAGGTATAAATATAAATGAAAAGATCACCAACAAGAATAAACAGACGAGAAAAGGAAAAGAAAACAAGTAGAAAAAATGAAACAATAAGTACGAATACGGAAGGCAGAAGGGTGAAAAAAGAAAGAAAGATAACTGAATAATAGAAGAAAAACAGTGTTATCAATTCTCTTTATGCCTAGTGACACCTGAAACCAGAGAGGACTTTCCATGCCTACCTGTCCTGTGAAATCTTCAGTGCAGTTTTCCATATAAGAGCACTCAGTTAACTTTCTATCGTTCGTCTCTATGTTGTTTTTGAGAGCTCCTTCATTCTCTTTCCCTCTGGTGTCCAAGTGAGAGCTGTTTTAGCGGGTATATCAGGGTTCATTCTCATAACGTGGCCAAGCCATTTCCATCTTTCTCTGGATTATCATACTGTCTAGAGTTTCTTGGTTTCCGACTTGAAGTAATTTAGTGTTTGAGACTGTATCTAGCTAGACAATTTTGATAATTCAACGTAGAAGTGTGTGGTGGAAGGTGGATAGCTTGTGCACATTTTTTTTTTGGTTCATTCTCCAGCATTCTGCTCCATAAAAAAAAAAAAAAGAACTTGTAAAATGACGCTCTTGCAGATTCGAAGTTTTGTTCCTCTACAGTAACTGTTAGATTACCAGATTTCCTTCACCTTTACTGAAGCGACACCACACTGCCAAGCTATATAAACTGTTCTATATTTTCAAGTATGTGGTTATTTATGGTCACTGGTTGTTGGTTTAGGCTGTTTGTCATAATGTTAGTTTTCCTAGTATTTATTCTCAGTCCCACCATTTGTGCCATTCTGTGTATTCTGTTACTTTTCTCTTGTATATGTTCATGTTTATGTGATAGGAATTGTATATCTTCTGCAAAATCAAGGTCCTCGAACACCGTGAGAGGAGTCCATCGTATCCCACTCGATGTCTGTTGTGTTCTTTAGTATCCAATCGGTCACAAGATTAAAAAAAAGAGGAGTGACATGACGCATCCCTGTCTTCAAACATGCATTTACTGGGAAAGATGTTTTTTTATTTTTTAATACTGCACGAAAAGTCTCTATATGTAAGAAAAACAAGGAAGGAAATGGTTTCGAAAAAGAAGAAGTTAAAAAGAAGAAGAAGAAGAAGAAGAAGAAGAGAAGAAGAAGAAGAAGAAGAAGAAGAAGAAGAAGAAGAAGAAGAAGAAGAAGAAGAAAGAAGAAGAAGAAGAAGAAGAAGAAGAAGAAGAAGAAGAAGAAGAAGAAGAAGAAGAAGAAGAAGAAGAAGAAGAAGAAGAAGAAGAAAGAAGAAGAAAGAAGAAGAAGAAGAAGAAGAAGAAGAAGAAGAAGAAGAAGAAGAAGAAGAAGAAGAAGAAGAAGAAGAAGAAGAAGAAAAAGAAGAAGAGAAGAAGAAGAAGAAGAAGAAAAGAAGAAGGAAGAAGAAGAAGAAGAAGAAGAAGAAGAAGAAGAAGAAGAAGAAGAAGAAGAAGAAGAAGAAGAAGAAGAAGAAGAAGAAGAAGAAGAAAGAAGAAGAAGAAGAAGAAGAAGAAGAAGAAGAAGAAGAAGAAGAGAAGAAGAAGAAGAAGAAGAAGAAGAAGAAGAAGAAGAAGAAGAAGAAGAAGAAGAAGAAGAAAAAGAAGAGAAGAAGAAGAAGAAGAAGAAGAAGAAGAAGAAGAAAGAAGAAGAAGAAGAAGAAGAAGAAGAAGAAGAAGAAGAAAGAAGAAGAAGAAGAGAAGAAGAAGAAGAAGAAGAAGAAGAAGAAGAAGAAGAAGAAGAAGAAGAAGAATAAGAAGAAGAAGAAGAAGAAGAAGAAGAAGAAAAGAAGAAGAAGAAGAAGAAGAAGAAGAAGAAGAAGAAGAAGAAGAAAGAAGAAGAAGAAGAAGAAGAAGAAGAAGAAGAAGAAGAAGAAGAAGAAGAAGAAAGAAGAAGAAGAAGAAGAAGAAGAAGAAGAAGAAGAAGAAGAAGAAGAAGAAGAAGAAGAAGAAGAAGAAGAAGAAGAAGAAGAAGAAGAAGAAGAAGAAGAAGAAGAAGAAGAAGAAGAAGAAGAAGAAGAAGAAGAAGAAGAAGAAGAAGAAGAAGAAGAAGAAGAAGAAAGAAGAAGAGAAGAAAGAAGAAGAAGAAGAAGAAGAAGAGAAGAAGAAGAAGAAGAAGAAGAAGAAGAAGAAGAAGAAGAAGAAGAAGAAGAAGAGAGAAGAAGAAGAAGAAGAAGAAGAAGAAGAAGAAGAAGAAGAAGAAGAAGAAGAGAAGAAGAAGAAAAAGAAGAAGAAGAAGAAGAAGAAAGAAGAAGAAGAAGAAGAAGAAGAAGGAGAAGAAGAAGAAGAAGAAGAAGAAGAAGAAGAAGAAGAAGAAGAAGAAGAAGAAGAAGAAGAAGAAGAAGAAGAAGAAGAAGAAGAAGAAGAAGAAGAAGAAGAAGAAGAAGAAGAAGAAGAAGAAGAGAAGAAGAAGAAGAAGAAGAAGAAGAAGAAGAAGAAGAAGAAGAAGAAGAAGAAGAAGAAGAAGAAGAAGAAGAAGAAGAAGAAGAAGAAGAAGAAGAAGAAGAAGAAGAAGAAGAAGAAGAAGAAGAAGAAGAAGAAGAAGAAGAAGAAGAAGAAGAAGAAGAAGAAGAAGAAGAAGAAGAAGAAGAAGAAGTAGCCCATAAGTGCTCCGTTCTTCTTCTAACTCAGTCTGATTTAGAAGAAAGCTCAGCACAATGCACAGGCTCTGTAGCACCGGCTAGGATCCTGAAATACATTAGGTAGATTTTTAACTCCACATTTTGCCTGGGCAGCGCCGTTAGACTACTCTTTTCGATTTCCAACTGCCAAGAGATTGTTTTACGTGCCGTAACAAATCACACGGGCGTCCGATCTCACTACCCAGAGACCAGGGGAATTGCTAGAAGTCCAAGTCGACGTAAAAAAAAAAAAAATCACAGACATTACAAGGGATTGAACTCGGACACTACGCCTCGAGACCACTCAGGAGGAAGAAGAAAAGATGAGAAGGAGAGCATGAATAAAAGGAATAGAAATACAAAATGAACGGACAGTAAGAAGAATAGGAGCAAGAAAAATAAAACACAATAAGAAGAGGAAGAACGAGTAAAGAAAAAAAGAAGACACTTACCTGAAAGAGGGTGCTGATATCCCTTTGTAACTGAGAGCCAACAGAGAGTGTAGGGAATCCAGATTCTGAATAAAACTTTTCATGTCGCTTCCGAGTGTCCGTAACATCTTGTCGTAGCCATGACGTAGGCAATAATCAAAAAAGAACTCTCCGAAGATCTCTAGAACCTTCTCAACCGGCACTCCTGAAACAGGCGATTGTCTTTGATTATAAATCTGCTGGTAGCAAGCAGCTTGTTGCTTTTATAGAAAATGTTTTGCACAATATGCTCTTCTTAACTTAATAATAAATAGCAGGAAGTGAAGTGAAGTCGGGAGATGTAAACCAGCGTCATTGCACACGGTTATAAACCATAAGTGCTCTGCCACCAGTACGGACAGCTGACAAGAATTGTCTGCCTGTGTCGCCGTTCGCAGGTAACTCTGTTGCTACAACGACGTTCCTCCATTTACCCCAGAGTGTTAACTCTGGTACCCATTTCCTAGAGGCTGGGTAAACCCGGGGAGCCGCCCGGTTTCGAACACTGACCGTGGGCTGCAGAGAGTCGCAGCTGGATTTGAAAGCGAGCCTCTTATCGGCCGCGCTAAGAAGAGTAGATGAAGTTTTATTGCAAAGGCCAACTGACACTATGTGAATATAAACAGGCTCGTTTACAACGTCACTACATCTAGAATGAGAATGGAGGTGGAGGCGGTAACGGCAGCTTTCCTATGGCTTGAGAGCAGCACAGCACCCGACATGTAATTGTTACAGACTCGCTGAGCATGCTTCGGAAAATTGAAATCAACGTCCTGCGTGTAGAGTGGTTTCGCATCTCTTGATAAGAGTCAGATGAGAAGCATATCATGGATTTTCTGTTCAGTAGAAACAGGTTTGCGAGGTAACCAGCAGGCTGATAGATTAGCAGCTGTCGCTCCCCTGGGCGGCAGCTATTTTATGATGAAGCGGATATGGTAAAGACTCTCTGTGATCAAATGAACAGTGCAATAAAACAGACAAAATCCATACCTTAAAAGACTAATTTAACTTGAGGCCTTTGAGGGGTGTGTAGAGGAAAAACATAGACAGACTTTTAATCTGGACTGGGCCCGTGTGGGAATGTCCTGAGTGCAGTAATGTTGGTTCTAGATTCATTCATTCATGTATTTATTATTCATTTTTACATTTATTCATACATTCATTCGCACAATAATTAATTAATACACACATTCATTCATTCACTCATTTATATATACATTTTATTCATCCCTAAGGACATCCTTTATGGGGAATTAAAGACAGGAAGAAGATGTCGAGGCCGACCTCTACTACGATACAAAGATGTGTGCAAGCGGGACATGAATGTTACAGGTATTGAGGCGGACTCATGGTAACAACATGCCACCTCCGGCTGTATATTGGTCCTGACAACTGAATCACGACACATTTTTGCTGAGTACCCTCGAAAATAGGTTACTGCAAGCGTTTCCATGTTGCATTTTGTGACATTATAATATGCTTACAAACTTCTGTGTTTTGATTGTATTCGTATTACAAATCGACAAGCGGATATTGTAAAGTGGACATACAAGCTGTTAGATTACAGCAATTTTAATTGTAATTCACGGGAGACAGTCGTGTTGTGATGTGTGTGCCAGTGTCACTGTTTCTAGTCAGTAGTTCGGATTTTTGGGAACTGGCTGTTTATTACTTTTCTACTTTAAATGGAGAAAACTTACTTTTAGGGATAATACAAACAGGTAATTTAGAAGCCTTATCTGGAAAATATCGACAGTTTTCAGGTGCAAACTATCTTGTGTTTGAAGAAGACT